ACTTTCTTTTTTCCTTCTGGCACCCCTATGATGCGATTGTTGAAATGCTTGAAGTTGTCCCATAGGGTGCTTCCACTGTCCTCGTTTTTGGTGATTCTTTTTTCTTCTTGCTGTTTTGATTGCCTTTTTTTGTTTCCTTATGTTCCAAATCATCAATTTGAATCTCAGCTTCATCCAATTTACTGTTGTTTCTCTGTAAATTGTTCTTTATTTCAATTAGTGAATTCTTCATTGCTGACTGGATCTTTTTTATGCTCTTGAGGTCTTTACTAAGTTCATTGGGCATCCTTATAACCGGTGTTCTGAACTCTGCATCTAATAGTCTGCTTGTCTCCCTTTTGTATAGTATTTTTTGTGGTGTTTTTATCTGTTCTCTTATTTGGTCCATGCTTCTTTGTCTTCTCATTTTGGCAGTCTCCTGTATTTGGTTGTATGTATTAGGTAGAGCTGTTTTGACTCTGTGTCTTGGTAGTATGGCCTAATGTGGTAGGTTTCTTACAGGGTCCAGTGCCACAGCCTCTCATCACCCAGTCTGGGTATTCTAGGTACATCCTCCATGTGGGCTGAGTTAACCTTCCTCTTGTAGTTGTGTCTTGATCGCTGTTGGCAGGTCAATGGAAGAGATTTACCAGGCCAGTCAGCTGCAAGGACTGGCTGTAACCACTGACCACAAACCTCCTCCCTATGTGGGGGTTCAGCTGGGGAGGGCCTGGGTGGTGGTGTTATGATGTTGTCTGTAGCTGTCAACTGTGTGCACAGGCACTTGGGTTTCCCAGGTGGTGCAGGCTAAGGTCAGCCACTATCTGTGTTTTGCCTGACACCTCCCTGTCTGGTATATAAAGCAATCTGTGATGGTTAGTACTTGGGCTGGGCTTGGAGATTCACAGCTGAATCTAGGTTGGCTGTTCCCAGTCCTGCGCCTGGAGCCATAGAGCAAGAGGTCCGGGGGTGGGGTCTTGATGAAGCTGGGTCTTGCTTATTGAGAGGATTTAGAAACTTGTGAAGCATGAGCCAAGATCAGCCATTCATATGGAAAAGTCACTGTTAACAGCTTGAATGGGCCCATAAGTTGGGTGAGATGGAGTCTCAGGGATCTCCAGTGTGGGGCAAGCAATCTCAGCCAAGTGAGGAAGTCTCACATATGGCACCTGCCTACTGGCTCCGTGGCTCTGCGGCTCTGTGGCTCTGTGGGGAGAGGGTTCAGAAAAGGAACAATGGCTTCTGCCCACCTTTCTGTCCGGGAGAAAACTGTCTACCTGCTCTTGCCTTGATACCAGACACTTCAGTTTCTCCCTGTGTGCCATTGGTACCTTTCAAGCTGCTGCTCCAGGGCTGAGCTCAGAGGGAGTGAGTCTGAGTAGTCCACGTTTGAGTTCTTTAACAGGAACTGCTTGGGACTCCTGAATTTTCTTTCACGGATTTAGACCCACTGGTTTTTGCAGCCAAAAGTTGTGGGGACCTGTCTTCCTCTCACTGGAACCCTGGCCTGGGGGTGTGAAGTGGGGTTGGAACTCCTTGCTCTAGATATGTCCTTCCCAAGATTTTATCCACCACATGTGGATGTGGGACCATCCTGTTCTGCCTCTCCGTCCCTTCTACCAGTCTGGATGGATGTGGCCTCTTTAATTCTATAGTTGTCAGACTTCGATTCAACTCAATTTCAGACAGTTTCAAGTGATGGTTAGTCTATAATTTAGGTGTAATTTGATTAGGTGGTGCAAGGTGGCAAACCAGGTTAACTGATGTCACCATCTTGACTAAAGTCCCCTTAGCTCTCTTAACCTATTCTTGTTCTTTTAAAATCTTTTTTCTTTTTGTTGCTCTGACTGGGTGTTTTTACCTACCTTGTCTTCCAAATCACTGATTCACTCCTCTGCCTTATCTAGCCTGCTTTTATTTCCTTCTTTTTATTCTTCATTTCAGATATTGCATTCTTTATTTCCACCTAGTTTTTATTCATTGTTTCTATTTTCTTTTTCTTGCTGATGTAGTTCCCACTGAGTTCCTTGTAGTTCTAAGTTCCTTGATCATCCTTTTAACCATTACTTTGAATTCTGTGATAAATTGCTTGCCTCAGTTTCATTTATCTCTTTTTCTGAAGATTTCTCCTTTTCTTTCTTTTGGAGGTTGTTTCTTTTTCTCATGATTTTAGCTGTCTCTTTTAGTTTGTTTCCATGTAGTAGATAGATCTGCTTTGACTCCCTGTCTTCTTGGGGTGGCCTTATGTGTTAATAGTCCTGAAGAACCCAGTGATGCAGCCTCCTTGATCTCCTGAGCTGGATGCTCTAGAATTGTCCCTTGTGTGGGTTAAGGGGGCTCTCCTGTTGTAATTGGATCTTGATTGTTGTTGGCCTCTTCATTGGTTGGATTTTTCTCTCCAGCTGGCTTACTGAGAGGCTCAATCGACACCACGTTTTGTACACTGTATACTGGGGCTGACAGAACAAAACAAAATAACACACACACACACAAACACACACGCCCAAAACACCCCAACAACAATAGCAAAATCAATGTCAAAAGAGCATAGACTAATAAAAGTGGAAAGAGAAATAGAATAGAAAAGAAAAAAAATAAGAGAAGACCACAGGAAAGAAAAGTGGTTATGAGAGGAGAAAAGAAAGAGAAATAATAAGAATAAGGAATAGAAAGAGAAAATGGGGAAAAGGACAAAGAGAAAGCATAACAAAAATACCTAAGAAGAAGAAAAAATGCAGTAAGAAAAGGTAAGAGTAAATAAGAGATATGCAAGATAATAGAGAAACAGAACTAGAAGAAAATAATAAAAAGGCTATAAAAAGAAAAAAATAATGAAAACAATAGAAAAGAACAACATGGAATTTGTCTCAGCTGAGTTTAATGCCTGCCTGCTGAGCACTCCCTCTGAATGTGGCTCTGATGTTGTCTGAGGTTGGTGTAAGCCAGTGTCAGGTACTGTCCATGTCTAGCCCTCACAGCCCGTTTGAAGCTACCAGCAATCCACAGTTTGTGACTGTTTCCTTGAGGCTTGCTAGTACATAGGATGGGCCGGGATGCTTTTATCAGCACTGGGCCCAAAGCTGGGTGAGCAAATGTCCCAATGCACCACGGATTCCGCCTCCGCCTGCCTCTGCTTGTTGGCTTTCTGTCAATCTTAGTCACTGACTTATTTCTGAGAGGGCTTCTGGTGAAATCAGCAGTGATGGGACCCCCGGATCTTCCATGGGAGGTGCTGTTCACACTTCAGGAAAGATGGTGTGTGGGTTCCCTCACTCCCAAGTCAACAGGTCTTAGTCTGTCCCGGATTATTTACCTGAGCTCAGCAGGGCAGAGCCCCCTAGTAGGCAAGCAGGTGGGGCCTCCAGAGCCCAGAGTTTTGGTCTGCTGGAAAGCAGAAGGGTGTTTCTGTGGCTCTCTCATGATGAGCAAGCACCAGTTTGGCTCCTGGCAAAGTATATGGAATGACTGCATCCTTCTGACACCCTGAGTCTATATACGTTGCTGTCTCCTTAGCAGGGGTTAAGATGCAGGATTGGGGAAAGAAATACACACACACAAAAGATGCAGGGTGGGGTGGGCAGGATTCCAGAGAATAGGTAGAGCAGGACCCCGTGGTGAGGTATAATTGTATTTCCCCAGGGAGGGCCTTGCCCTGTTTTTTGTTCTCCCTCAAGAAAGATAGCTGCTGTGGTATGGAAGTATGACCCAGCACAAAAATCTCTGCAGCCTCTCGCCCATGGCCCTTGCCAATGCCACCCCTCCAGTCTTCCCTTGTACGACTCCAGTCTGTACTTCCCTCCCTTTGCTAGAGCCCAAGATGAGTTGCTGCAAATGAAAAAAACCTGTGCTTTGACCCTTTTAAGAAAAAAAAATAGTGGTTTTGTCTCCAGCTGGCTGTTTCTCCCCAGCAGACAAATCCCAGTGGCCTTTCACTGCCGGATGGTAAGTGGGCAGCTGCTCTTGGCACTGGTGCTCTGTGCTTGAGAGCCCAATCTGAGGTCTAGGCTTCACTTCTCTCAGTGGGAAGTTCCCACAGCCTTGCCACACCCTCAGACCCATGCAGCCCTGACCCAGCGCCTTTTGCGTCCCCACCCTTCCTACCGGTCTAGAGTTGGTTTCTACCCATCCTTGTCCAAAAGTCTCTTTTTCAGGTAGTCTTCAGTTGTTTATATCAGTTGGCTGTTCCTTTTTTTTTTTTTTTTAATTTCCAGTTTGGTTCTGGGAGGAAGTGTGAGAAAGACTCCCCTACTCTGCTGCCATCTTGCCAGCCCAGATTTATTTTAAATAATATTTTTTTCTGGTTATAAAAATAAGATGTGCTCATTGTGAAATATGAAAATTTAGGAAATTATAAAATGTTAATCATCCATAGTACTATTTCCTAGAGATAAGCATTATTCTAATTTTGATATGTTTCCTTCCTATATCTTTTCCTCCATTTATCCCTCCCTCCTTCCTTTTGTTTGTCTTTATGGAAAACAACATTTGCAGTTTTTATCCTGCCTTTTTTTCACTACCCAACAGATAAGCATTTTACACATTATTAAACTATTTTTCACAAACATAACTTTTAGTTTCTGCATTATATTTGGTTATATGGGTACCTATAATTTATTTAACAACCCTCCTGTTATTGGATATTTAGGTAGTCTTCAGTTATTTCTGTGAAAGTACGTCTTTCTGTTTAAAATTTTGTCTACTTAGGATAGGATTTATAATATTTAAATTTTTTGTGGCCAAAGAGCATAAATATTATTAAACTCTGTTGAATATTGCCCAATTGTTTTGAGAATGGTGTTTATTCCAGTATTTGCCTCCACATAGACTTATGAAAATGCCAAAAAGAAACAAGTATTATTTTTATTAAAGCTGATTTGTTAACGAAAACATAGTCATCATTTTAATTAGTATGTCTTTGATTTACGAGTTGAACAATTTTGCAGTGCTTATCAGCTTTGGCTTTAATTTAATTTAATTTAATTTTTTTTTTCACCTAACCCAAGTCTTTCATTTTGTTTCAGGTCTTCCCTTTCCGTTGAAATGTCTATGATTTTGTCTGCTTCAGTCATTCGTGTCAGAGATGGACTGCCGCTTTCAGCTTCTACGGACAATGAACAAGGCACGGGCGTGCAGGAGTGCAGAAAGTATTTTAAAATGCTCTCAAGGAAGCTTGCTCAGTTTCCTGATAGATGTACCCTGAAAACTGGACATTATAACATTAAGTAAGACTTTAGTTTGTTTTATGAAAATCACTTGCTTAATGGTTTTCATTTTAATGAACTTTAAGTGGTTACAATAGAAATTAATGTTTGTTTAGTTTAAGAACATGTTTAAGATTCATGTGGTTCTGAACTTATACTAAATGGTAGTCATCATTTCATCACCCTTTTTGTATCTGGCTTTAGAAAAATTTATCGTTTTGCAGATCTGAGATATGCCATCTTTTTTATTTTTTCGAAAGATTTTATTTTTATTTATTTTAGAGAGAGGGGAAAGGAGGGAACAAAAGAGGGAGAGAAACATCCGGGTGAAAGAGAAACATCAATCAGTTGCCTCTTGCATGCGCCCCAACTGAGGACCTGGCCTGCAACCTTCATCTGTAGTGAAAGCCTTCTGCACTGGCTGTTACCTCTGTCTTGCTCTTCATCCAGAGCATCCTTTGTTTCACTGCCTTCTTTCTCATCTTTTAGGTCTCTGCTCTCAGAGAGACCCTTGACCACTACAAAGTCACTCTATATCCTATTGTCCTTTTTTATTTCCTTTATATATAATAAATAGTGATGAATGCTATCCCCTCTCACTAGAACATAAACTTAAATTTTCTGAAGGGAGGTGTAATGTAAGATTTTTTATATCTCTGATTAGAGTTTGGCTGGGCATGTAAGAACACCATAAATGCCTAGCAACCAACTTATAAGATGGCATATCTGAGCCCTGACCAGCATGGCTTTGTTGGTTGAGTGTTGTCCTGCAAAACAAAAGGTCGTTTTGATGTAATGGATTATAGGAAGCTGTTACTGCGGGTTTGAGGGAAATGACTTGATAAAAAAAGTACAAATGGAAAACAATGCTGAGACAGCGGGATGTAGGGTGAAATGGAAAGTCTGAGAGGAGAGAGGTTAACTAAAAATTAGGGTCTGAACTAGTAAAATACAAATGCAAAAAAAGAAAATGCCAACCATAGAGACGCATCAAAGGAGGAAATAGTTAAGCGTGATAAAATGGAATACCAGAGATGAGGAGAAGGAAGGAACACAGATGACTGAAACCTTGGAATTGGACAGACAAGGTCTTTGGAAAGGGTTGCTTATGCCTGGGGAACGGGGCGGGGGCGGGCAGGGGGAGGAAGGAGAGCAAGATAATGAAACTCCATTTTGATCATTTAATTAAGGGTATGGCAAGGCAGTCCAGTGGGGTGAGATAGAGATTTTGGAATCATTCGTATAGAAGTTGAAACTGATAGTAGAAATGCCTACTGCATTTCTGAGAGGCCCAAAAGAGAACCTTGGAGAATGTTCATAATTGCTCGGATCACCTGAATAATGATAAGATAATGAGCTGTTACTTTTATTGGGTTTTCTCAGAGTTTAACTACAAAATGGTGGTGGTAATGGTGAGTGTATCTGAAATGATGTCTTAGCCTACATTTTTTTGGAAGAATAAACTTGAAACATTTTAATATTTTATTTAATAGTTAGAGGCTCTTTTAGTTTCCTGGGTCATTCTGATTTTTAGTTATTGTTATTGTGTAATATTATAGATAGATACCAACATTATAGAAGATTGGCTTGTATTTAGTATATTAATTCTGGCAGATATCTGAACTTACACACATAGAACTTTGGTTTTGCAAATGTTTTCTGTTTCTCTACCTTATTCTTTTAAAAGTAGAGTAGAATGTAGTACCATTTTTAACACACATCTAATTCTGTTTAAGTGTTGTGAATTCCATTTATAAAAAAATAATTCAAGAGTTCAGGTAAGAGAATCATATGAAGGACAAAAATAAAGATAGAAGAATAGTACACTGAGGTTATATATCTGTTTGGAGAGACAAACATTTCCATTCGGAGATATAAATAATTTATTTTTTATTTGTAGTCCATTCATTTGTTAGAAAGGGCTATAAAAAATTACTTTGAGCAACCTTATAGCCAAAACAAAGGGGGATAATGGATCATTTACAGGATTCACAGTGTCCATTGGATCAAAACACTGCTTTCCATCTTACTGAGATCTGATGTACAAAAAAAGGGACAGTATTTGGCAAGCATCCTTTTGGCAGCCATAAAAATGAACTTTTTATGGTTTTTCTTATAATATTTTTTAGTGTAAGCAAATGGCATGATGAAAAAAGCAATTTTATAAGAAAATTTAAGAGTGGGATGAAACATCAGAGGTCTAATCTGGCTTGATCTAAGAAAACAATTCAGAAATGTATGAAGGAATAAAAAGTTTCCATGGCCTTCAGAACTAGGCATAGAAAAGCCTCTCTTCGTGTTATTTTTGTAGCCAAGTTTGAAAAAAGAATTGAACAGCAGAGAATTTTTAGTTCTACTTTTTGATGGAAGCCTAGGTTTTATATATTTTCTATCATTGATTAGAGGTTTTTGTTTATTGGTTTCAAGTTTATTGAGGGTTTGAATGGTATATGAGAAATTTAGACTGAAATATAGAAAATTGGGAACTTATGCATATTATTTGACTTATTTAAAATTCTCATGTGACACTTCTTTTTTGAACTCCCATGAATTTGCCTGATGAAACTCAGAATACTAGTAGTAGTATTGTAGCACAACCTGAAACTGGCACCAGGCTGCAGTGTGCTCTCCTATTCCTGCCTCTAACTGTTTTTCTTTCCTTCAGAGCCCAGTTTAGAGCCTCCCTCATTTGAATCCCCTTTTTCATTGTCACTGCTCTTTCTCTAATGATCTCACTTCCTTTACAGATTACCTATGGAATGTATTTGACTTTTTCACCACTTTTTCCTTATTTTTAATTTATTTTTTTATTTATATAGCTTTTTTCTATGCATTGTAACTCAGTGAGATCATTCATCTGCCCTGGCCTATATTATTTTTTGTCTCTCTTTTAGCATTGTGGTTTCTATACAAATTTGTATAGAAATTGAGATGCTTTTTGTAGAATACTACTAAGAACCAAAACAAAATAACTAACTAGATAAATGTAATTATGTACTCAATCACATTACAGTCTGGTTGAATGGATAGAAGATCATAGTTTTGAGAAAAAAATTAGGAGAGTAACATTTAAAATTGAGAAGATTCTTTTAATTTCCTCTCCCTGTATATTGGGAAAATGATGAACTTTATGAGATTGTAGTGACAGGGGATCCAAGATGGTGGTGGAGCAGGTGGAAGCTACACTAATCTTCTCCCAGGACAAAACTGGAATTACAGTCAAATGATAGAAAAACCATCCTGAAAAACCACCTGAACACTGACTGGAAAAGAAGCCTTATAACCAAGGACTTACGAAAGAAACCACATCACCACATCGAGACTGGTAGCGAGTACAGAGGTACAAGAGGGCTGGCAGGGCTTTCACAGGCAGCAGCTGAAGTTTGGAGGGATATTTCAGCATCTGGAGGGATTCCACCTGAGAAGTGTGGAGTCTGAATCCCAAGCTGGGTTCCCTAGTCTAGAGCACCAGAATTGGGAAAGGAACCCGAATAATATCTGACTGTGAAAATCAGTGGGGTTTCTGCCCTCCAGGGAGGGATGGCTGGAGATGCAGAGAGCCTCTTAAAGGGCCAACACACAAATTTCATTTGCAGCCACTGACACCGGAGCAGAGCAGACTAGAGCCACGTGAGGAAAGTCTGGGCTTGGTGCCTCTGTGGAGAAGGCTGAAGGGCCAGCCACCAGGATCCCTGTGCTTAATCATTCCCCAGACTGCAGAAGCCATCTTTCTCAGGAAGAGCACTCCTGTCCATGTGGCATCAGCGTGGGGGGAGGCAATAGCCCCACCAGCAGGAGTCTCTCTTGCCTCATCCTGTGGAGCTTAAGCTGGGCTTCTGAGGAGTACAGCTAGAGGCACTTTCATTGATTAAGCCTAACAGAAAGCCTGCAATATGAAAATGGATATCTTGGAGCTTTGAGACTTTAGCTGGCCCTGCCCCAAGCAGGTGCTGGTAAAAATCAACTTTGGCCACAGCCTGGTTCTTTCTGCACACACCCAGGTCCAAAAGAGGGAGCCACAAGCTATGGATCACTGATAGCTGCAAATGGGTTGCACAGGGCCAGTTACAAGCAGTGACTGACATAGGACTGCCCCAGAGTCTGTGCAGATCTACCTAATACATAGAAACAAACACAAAGAAGCAGCCAAAATGAGGAGTCAAAGAAACAGGCCCCAAATGTAGAGAGAACAAGACAGAACAAGAGAATTGTTCAGAAGAGCAACTAAATGAAATGGAGGCAAGCAATTTATCAGATACAGAGTTTAGAGCAATTTATATAACGATGCTCAGCAGCATGAAAAAGACACAGAAACTATAAAAAAGGACCAATCAGAAATAAAGAATGCAATATCTGAAATAAATAATACATTGGAAAGAATAAACAGTAGGTTAGATGAAGCAGAGGATTGAATCAGCCATTTGGAAGACAAGATAGATTGTAGCGATTGAATACTACAGTTCAGCAAATGGAGTACATTGTGCACCATGGCTTGTGTGGCACCATGCTTGCACATTTCATAGTAGCTGCTCAGTGGGGGATAGTTGTTTTGGGTTGATTGGTCGGGTTCAGAGTGCCATGGAATTAAGTCTTCATTCTCTCCAAAAATCTTCAACTTGACTCCTTGATTTGGGGGCAGGATGTGTGTGCATAATTCAGGTTTGTGCATTATTTTCACATTAGATAGTGATATTACAATTTTCTCTGTATAAAATTTTGAGGAATTCATCTGTTTAATAAGTTGAAGGGTACTTTCCTTAAACTGTCATAAATGTTTAATATATAAACATATGTCACTACTTAGGAAATGACTAAAGCAATAATTATAAACCATATGAAAATCAAGTTGTATCATACGAGATCTTAAAATGTTGATTGGTTTGGGAGGTTTAAAAATCAAGTTATACATTTTGAGATCTCTTTAAACATTGAGATACTGATGCTATGAAAAGACAAACCTCTTTGGAAGGCCAATCATACTTGTGAATTTTAGTGCAAGAAATAAAATTCCTTAGTTTTCT